GCTTTATGCAGAAATTATGCATTTATTTCTGCTTTATGTAGAAATATATGCTTCCTATGTGTAAAACACTACTTTCTGTGCAAATAAACCATAAGCAGTGGGTTGTTGTAGGTTTTTCCGGGCCATATGGCCATGTTCTGGAGGCATTTTCTCCTGACGTTTCGCCTGCATCTATGGCAAGCATCCTCAGAGGTAGTGAGGTCTGTTTGGAAGTAGGAAAATGGGTTTATATATCTGTGGAATGAAACCATGAAACCATGAAAATGAACAAAATCTGGCTACCAGTATTAAAAAACTCAAAAATTACAACAGCAAAACAACAGAGAGTAAACAATCAGGACATCAAATCACTCTCAACAAAATATTCCCCCCAGGCACTTCCAAGCCATTAAATGCTAATCAAGGTGATCAGCTGAAACATTCCCACCTAGCTCCAGCAGACAACAGTCCTTTGTCCCACCCTGGTCATTCCACAGATATATAAACCCTTTTTCCTAGTTCCAACAGACCTCACTACCTCTGAGGATGCTTGCCACAGATGCAGACGAAACGTCAGGAGAGAATGCCTCCAGAACATGGCCATATAGCCTGGAAAAACCTACAACAACCCAGTGATTCTGGCCATGAAAGCCTTCGACAGTACAAACCATAAGCATATTTTGAATCCCCAAAGTCCCAAATTACAGGGCTTTATGCATTAGGAGAATATCTTATCTTTTTCAAGTGACGTGATATTTTTGGTCCAAAAAGTATTGCTTTAAATGCAGAAAATGTTGTTTCCTGGACAAAACAACCACGTGTGAATTTTGCACAAAATTAGCCCTGAACAGCAAATATTTCACCAATCCAAGATGCTTCGACATTTGAAAAATAAAGCAAGGGAAGTTGACAACGTTTTGAATATTTTGAAGTATCTTTTCCATCTCTATGGCTGTCTAATATTGCCTCCCTCTTCCTTTACATCTGGCTTTTAAAAGCTCCCACTGACTGCCTCTTGTCTGAGGATCCTTGAAATCCTAAAAAAAGGGGGGCATTTCCATGACCATGTAAGGGAATCAATAACGCATTTTCCCCTTTTCTCTCCCATCCTGCCAAACATGACCTCATAGGATCTCTCCAGTTTGAAACACATGCCATTTTCTAGGTTCTTGTGGGTTTTTTGGGCTATATGGCCATGTTCTAGAGGCATTTTCTCCTGACGTTTCGCCTGCATCTATGGCAAACATCCTCAGAGGTAGTGAGGTCTGTTGGAATTAGGAAAATGGGTTTATATATCTGTGGAATGACTGGGGTGGGGCAAAGAGCTCTTCTCTGCTGGAGCTAGGTGTGAATGTTTCAACTGATCACCTTCATTAGCATTTGAAGGCCTGGCTGAGCCTGGGGGAATCTTTTGTTGAGAGGTGTTAAGATGTGCCTGGTTGCCCCACCCCGGTCATTCCACAGATATATAAACCCATTTTCCTACTTCCAACAGACCTCACTACCTCTGAGGATGCTTGCCATAGATGCAGGAGAAACGTCAGGAGAGAACAGTGGTTCTCAACCTGGGGTCCCCAGATGTTTTTGGCCTCCAACTCCCAGAAATCCTAACAGCTGGTAAACTGGCTGGGATTTCTGGGAGTTGTAGGCCAAAAACATCTGGGGACCCCAGGTTGAGAACCTCTGCTCTAGAACATGGCCATATAGCCCGAAAAAACCCACAAGAACATAGTGATTCTAGCCATGAAAGCCTTTGACAATACATCAGTCCTTTAGTCTTCTCTTTCGCCATCCCAGATTATGATGATGATGATGATGATGATGATGATGATGATGATGGTGGTGGTCCTTTAGTCTTCTCTTTCGCCATCCCAGATGATGATGATGATGATGATGATGGTGGTGGTGGTGGTGGTGATGGTGATAAAGCTTGTGCGCCAGCTGCGCCCGTACCTTGGGAAGTCTGACTTGGCCACGGTAGTCCACGCTCTGGTTACATCCCGTTTAGACTACTGCAACGCTCTCTACGTGGGGTTGCCTTTGAAGACGGCTCCGAAGCTCCAACTAGTCCAACGCTCGGCAGCCATGATACTAACAGGAGCGGAGCGCAGGGAGCATACAACCCCCCTGTTGCGCCAACTCCACTGGCTACCGATCTGCTACCGGGCTGAATTCAAAGTGCTGGCGTTGGCCTTTAAAGCCCTAAACGGTTCCGGCCCAAGATACCTATCTGACCGCATCTCTGCCTATGAACCCACCAGGACTTTGAGATCTTCCGGGGAGACCCTGCTCTCGATCCCGCCTGCTTCTCAAGCTCGGCTGGCGGGGACGAGAGATAGGGCCTTCTCGGTGGTGGCTCCTCGGCTGTGGAACGCCCTTCCTACGGACATTAGACTAGCACCATCTCTAATGGTATTCCGCAAAAAAGTGAAGACCTGGCTGTTTGAGCAGGCGTTCGAATAATTATGCAATGATTGGTTAATGAACACTGGAATGGAACAATGGATAACGAATCTGGAACATGTTTTTGATGACGAGACGACAGTGAATGGGTATTGTAGTAACTGTTTATTAATTGTGTAATGTGTTAGGTTGTTACTGTTTCTATACTGTAGCACTGAATTTTTGCTGTTCGTATTTGTTGTGAACCGCTGTGAGTCGCCTTCGGGCTGAGAACAGCGATATATAAGTAAGGTAAATAAATAATAATAAATAAAAGCTGGGGAGAACAAAAGCTTTGATAGCTGTGTGTTGGTGAGCAAATGGAATCTGGGAGACAACTGGAAATCTCTCAGCCAATTAGAGGAGTAAGCTTTGGGCTTAGGAACTCTTTAGCGAGCAAAGGAGTGGGATGGGAAGACCTCTCTTGCCATTAACTAGGATAGATTTATGTACATTAATTTCCTGGACTTGTTGGGTGAACCATTTCCCTGACCTGTCTGCCCCCACAATGCTCCCCATCAGAACTGGAAAGAGAGATTTCCCCCTGCTGAGCTCTTTTCCTCCCAAAATAGAGCTCTTCCTGTCTAACACAACAGCAGTTCAGAGCGTTCCCCAGCTGAGACCACCTGGATCTTTGTGATCCAACAAATTGATGTTTCTTCCCTTGTTCAACATTCCTACTATTTTGAATTACTTATGCAGCCAAATTTTTTTTTTGAAGTATCCACACACAAAAGCAAAGATTTTTTTTGCAAATCTATACACATCTATATAAATAAAAATGTAATGTTCAATGTATTGTCGAAGGCTTTCATGGCTGGAATCACTAGGTTCTTGTGGGTTTTTTCGGGCTATAGAGCCAGGTTCTAGAGGCATTTCTCCTGACGTTTCGCCTGCATCTATGGCAAGCATCCTCACCTCACTACCTCTGAGGATGCTTGCCATAGATGCAGGCGAAACGTCAGGAGAAATGCCTCTAGAACATGGCTCTATAGCCCGAAAAAACCCACAAGAACCTAATGTAATGTTCGTTTGTGGGATTAACATAACTCAAAAACCACTGGACGAATTGACACCAAATTTGGACACAAGACACCTAACAACCCAATCTATGTTCTTCACTTAAATAAATTGATTTTGCCATTTGGGAGTTGTAGCTGCTGAGATGTATAGTACGCCAACAATCAAAGAGCATTATGAACTCCACCAATGATTGAATTGAACCAATCTTGGGACACAGAACTCCCATGCTGAACAGAAAACACTAGAAGGGTTTGGTGGGCATTGACCTTGAGTTTGGAAGTTGTAGTTCACCAATATGCAGAGAGCACTTTGGACTTAAACAATGATGGATCTGGACCAAACTTGGCACAAATAGTCCATATGCCCAAATATGAACACAGATGGAATTTGGGGGAAATAGACCCTGACATTTGGGAGTTGTAGTTACTAGGATTTATAGTTCGCCTACAATCAAAGAGCATGCTGAACCCCACCAATGAAGGAATTGGGCCAAACTTCCCAAACAGAATCCCAATGACCAACATAAAATACTGTTTTCTGGTGATCTTTGGTGACCCTTCTTACAAATCACCAGACTGGGCCACAGCAATGCATGGCAAGGGATGGCTAGTCTATATAAATAAAAATGTAATATTCAATGTATTGTTGAAGGATTTCATGGCCGGAATCACTGGGTTGTTGTAGGTTTTTTCGGGCTATATGGCCATGTTCTAGAGGCATTCTCTCCTGACGTTTCACCTGCATCTATGGCAAGCATCCTCGGAGGTAGTGAGGTCTGTTGGAACTAGGAAAAAGGGTTTATATATCTGTGGAATGACCAGGGTGGGACAAAGGACTCTTGTCTGCTGGAGCTAGGGGTGAATGTTTCAACTGACCACCTTGATTAGCCTTTGACCCCTCACTACCTCTGAGGATGCTTGCCATAGATACAGGTGAAATGTCAGGAGAGAATGCCTCTATAACATGGCCATATAGCCCAAAAAAAACCTACAACAACCCAATGTAATGTTCATTTGTGGGATTAACATAACTCAAAAACCACTGGATGAACTGACACCAAATTTGGACACAATACACCTATCAGGCCAATGAATGACCATCACTCATTAAAACACTGAAAAACACAGTGGAATGGACTTAAGCAGCAAAAAAAGCAAAAATATGCTATCGCGCATGTGCAAAAACGACTCCCCCAGCAAACAAAACACACAATAGCATATCCACACTCCCTTCTGGACTACAGCTCCCAGCATCCCCCTAGACCAGCACCAACCCCCAAAGTTGGACATGACTGGACTTAATGTCAGGTGAAAATTGTTACCTTAACCTTAGGAATACATTTTGGAGTTCCCAATCAGAATGCTCCCCATAGTTACACTTCCAAGAAAGGTCAAGGAGATTGGTATTATCTTGAGTCTGATCAGCAAACCAAGCCTTATGTACTGTGATTAAAAATGCAAAAGAACTGTGAACCTCTTTGCTTCTGAAGGCATGTTTATGTGGAAGCTTCTCTTGACCTGGAAACCTTTTCTTTTTTGTTGGCTTGGCTTCTACAGATCTTCCTGAAATCAGTGTGAGCCATGTCAATCTAACTGTGTGTGAAGGCGAAAATGCTGTTATCACCTGCAACGGCTCAGGATCCCCTCTGCCTGATGTTGACTGGATGGTGGTCAATCTGCGCTCTATCAACACTCATCAGGTAAAAAAGCAATATCCAGGTGCTTTGTCTCACTTGAGTTAGCTGAAGAATTTTGCCCATGTCTATAAGGAGAATAACATCAGATGGTTTCCTTCCATAGATTAAGCCATCAAGTATTTTCGACTATGATGAAGATATAGTGTGCTGTCACGCGCTGGGCCTGTAATAATTGTCTTTTGAACAGGACGTGCACTTTGTGCCCAGCGGGAAGCCAGGGTGCCTTGATAGAGAGGCCCTAAGGATTTTCCTCTGGAAGAGTCTTTAGAGGCTTGAAAGGTTTTACAAAGTCCTTTATTATTGAACAAATTAAACAAATACTTCTTCAATCTTCAACGACAATCATACAAATGGCTGGTAGCTTACTTAATCTTGTCCACAAGGGACAGGCAACTGGCTTTGAGAACTATTTCTTTTCTTTTGAAAGGAAAACCCTTTTTTAACCTCTCCCAGGCAATCTACTATCTAGGCTTTGCTGATGTGGGTCCTACTACCGGTTCCAAACTACTTCTTGGGTTCCGAGTAGACCTACCAGTCAAGGCTTTGTAGATTCTCCAGCTGAAGTTCTTTGGGTCTGTAAAACTGTTTCCCCCGAATGCTGTAAGGCTGAGAAGCTGTAAGTTCCCAGCCAGAGCTTTGGGACTGTTTCTCCCTGGAAGTTGTTTCCCCCGAAGCTATAGGAAATGAAGCTTTTCTGCAGGTGGAGCTGGTCCACGTCCTGTAGCTTAATTTCCTTCTGTAAGACTGAACTAAAAATGGCTCCCTCTCCTCCCAGGGCCCTGGGGAAAGGGGCGGAACCAAACCTTAACAATGATTGATGGGTCATTGGCCCTATAGTTGCAAACCAAGGGAAGTCACCTTTGCAGAATGCCTGGAACCTTGGAATGCATGCAGACATTTAATAGAAAGAAAATGAAGTTGGAGCTCCTGGTACATCCGTACCAGCACATATAGAATTGTTTTCATTCCAATGTTATGTATGAATCAGGATCCAACAGCTCTTTCGATTATGTCCTTTTATATATATATTAATCTTTTCTTTCTCTGGCAATTACTTCTAGACCAACGCCAACTGGACTAATGTTCATTCCATCAACCTGACCCTGGTGAACGTCACAAGTGAAGACAATGGGTTCCTGCTGACATGTATTGCTGAGAACGTGGTGGGAATGTCTAACGCCAGTGTGCTTCTCACTGTCTATTGTAAGTTGATGGGTAGGATCGGGTTCAAGCTATTTAACAAACCACATCTCCCTTTATAGACAAACTCGGACACTGCAGTCATTGGAGGAGGCTCTGCTCTTAGTCCAACCCCTATCTCAAGCATGGCTGGTGGGAACGAGAGAAAGAGCCTTCTTTGTGATTGCCCCCCACCTCTGAAACTTCCTCCCTAACAAATTGAAGATGTCCTCCTCCCTCCTCGATCCTCCTCCCTCCTCGTCTATGAAAAACAACTAAAAACATGGGTTGTTGTAGGTTTTTTCGGGCTATATGGCCATGGTCTAGAGGCATTCTCTCCTTTGTCCCACCCTGGTCATTCCACAGATATATAAACCCTTTTTCCCAGTTCCAAAAGACCTCACTACTAGGGCTGGGTAACTACGGAAAAATTTGTTTCTAAACTCGATTCGTTTTTAGGGGGTTTTTGCGTTTCGTTTTTTAAAAGAATTCTGAAATTTTTCTTTAAAAAAGTTCGAAATATACGAAATTTCGTAAATTACGAAACAGTTACGAAACAATTACGAATCGATTCGTTAATGGCGGACGCGATTGCGCAATATGCAAAAAAACCCCCTCCAAATGGGACCGGGGGAACTTCTGAAGCTTCCCTCTCCCTCTGTTGTTGACTGTTGGTGTGATAATTTATTTTTTATCACTGATAAAACAAACAACAACCCTAAAACTTGCACCAGACATACGGAAATAATTTCGAAAAATTTCGAAACAATTACGAAATAAATTTGTTTCAATTTTTAATTGCTCCTGCATGGCTCAATATCGGATCGTAAGCTAATTTAAATACGAATTAATAACGAATTACGAAATTAACGAACGAAACCGCCCCAGCCCTACTCACTACCTCTGAGGATGCTTGCCATAGATGTAGGCGAAACGTCAGGAAAGAATGCCTCTAGACCAATGCCATATAGCCTGAAAAAACCTACAACAACCCAGTGATTCCGGCCATTAAAGCTTTCGACAATAAACTAAAAACATACTTTTGCTCACTGGCTTATGAAGAGGAAGAGGAATAGATAATGGCACTGTTTTTATACCTCTGATTAATATCTGCCATCTGCATGTGGGCCCTTGTTTACCTCACTAGCTTAGTAACATCTGGGGCAATAATCAACTTCCATACCCCAAGGAGCTCTCTTGGCCCTTGGAAACTGACACTTCTGTTTCATATTTTGTTCTGATGTTTTGTTTCATGTTGATATAATTTATTTGATAGTTTACGTTTAATTTCAGTTTTAGTTGTTAAGTTATACTTTGTTTTTATATGTTGGTTGTTAATTTTAGTTATTATGTGTGTAATCGGAGCCCCTGGAGGTGCAATGGCTTAAACCTTTGTGCTGACAGAATTGAAGACCAACAGGCCAGAGGTTCAAAGCCAGGGAGAATGCGGATGAGCTCCCTCTGTTAACTCTAGCTCCCCATGTGGGGACATAAGAGAAGCCTCCCACAAGGATGGTAAAACATCAAAAAACCATCCAGGCATTCCCTGAGCAACATCCTTGCAGATGGCCAATTCTCTCACACCAGAAGTGACTTGAAGCTTCTCAAGTTGCTCCTGACCTACACACAAAAATTATGTGTGTATTGGTTGTTGGTTTCGGGCATTGAATGTTTGCCTTTTTGTGATTGGAATCCTCCCCGAGTCCCTTCCGGGAGATAGGGTAGAATATAAATAATAATAATAATAATAATAATAATAATAATAATTGTCGAAGGCTTTCATGGCCGGAATCACTCAGTTCTTGTGGGTTTTTTCGGGCTATATGGCCATGTTCTAGAGGCATTTCTCCTGACGTTTCGCCTGCATCTATGGCAAGCTTCCTGAACAAAATATGAAACAGAAGTGTCAGTTTCCAAGGGCCAAGAGAGCTCCTTGGGGTATAGAAGTTGATTATTGCCCCAGATGTTACTAAGCTAGTGGGGTAAACAAGGGCCCACATGCAGATGGCAGATATTAATCAGAGGTATAAAAACAGTGCCATTATCTATTCCTCTTCCTCTTCATAAGCCAGTGACCTCTGAGGAAGCTTGCCATAGATGCAGGCGAAACATCAGGAGAAATGCCTCTAGAACATGGCCATATAGCCCGAAAAAAACCCACAAGAACTGAATAATAATAATAATTGTTAGAAACACAACAAGATGAGTAAACAGCAGACACTCTGCTGGCTGTTGTATTGGATCACACGTCGGACACTTCCCAAGTGTCTAGGAATGTGTGATGTTGTTGTTATTGTTGTTGTTGTTGTTGTTGTTGTTATTATTAGGAAAGTTCAAGAGAGAGAAAGCAAGAGAATAGACAATATTTGTACTCATTTCTGGTGGGATATCACACTGCCTAATGCAGGGTAAATTTATATTCAAATGAGGATCTCTCTCTCTATAGATATACTGTATCTCCGAACGTATCTCCTTCTATGTCCCACCTCAGAGCTTAAGATCTTCTGGGGAGGCCCTGCTCTCAGCCCCGCCTCTATCACAAGTGAGATTGGTGGGGACGAGGGACAGGGCCTTCTCGGTGGTGGCCCCTCGCCTGTGGAATGCGCTCCCTGGGGAAATTAGGTCATCAACATCCCTCCTCTCCTTCAGAAGGAAGCTGAAAACATGGATATGGGACCAGGCCTTTGGGTAATCGGGCAGACTGACAAGATAATGATGACTAGAATTTGGAAAGGACTATGGTAATGCTGAATGGACTTACGGATTTTAGAACTCTGTGAACGTTAGCCACTAGATTGGCTTTTAGTTGTTATTATATTAATTGAATGTTTTAACTTGTGGTTATTTGTTGTTATGTATTTTATCTGTTGAATTGTTGGCAACAAATTGTGCCGGTTGTAAGCCGCCCTGAGTCACCCTTTGGGGGTTGAGAAGAGCTGGGTAGAAGTGCCTGATATATATATATATATATATATATATATATATATATATATATAGTTTCCAAGAACACAAAAAATTAGAAGCTTTCTGATAATTTTTCACAGTTTGGGATTGTATTGAAGAACATCATTTGTGTGATAGGTATTGCGTTGACTGTAAAAAAAAAACCAATGTTTTCAACCAAGCAATATTTTGTGAATAATTCCCCAAAAAGGTCAACTACTATACATTTATTTATTTATTTTGGTAATTCAAATGGGGATGATTTAATTTATTGTGCATTTTTTCTCCTGAAATTGTCCTGAGGTGTAATTTTTTTGTGCATTTTTTAAAAATGCACAAAAACACTCATAATTTCTGCTACTGGGGAGAATTTTTTCAACTGCCAGGTTTTGCATGACAAAATGAAGAAACTGGGTTGTTGTAGGCTTTTTCGGGCTCTATGGCCATGGTCTAGAGGCATTCTCTCCTGACGTTTCGCCTGCATCTATGGCAAGCATCCTCAGAGGTAGTGAGGTCTGTTGGAAGTAGGAAAAAGGGTTTATATATCTGTGAATGACCAGGGTGGGACAAAGGACTCTTGTCTGCTGGAGCTAGGTGTGAATGTTTCAACTGACCACTTGATTAGCATATAATGGCCTAACAGTGCATGGATATATAATGGCACGGTCAGGCCATTATATGCTAATCAAGGTGGTCAGTTGAAACATTCCCACCTAGCTCCAGCAGACAAGAGTCCTTTGTCCCACCCTGGTCATTATTCCACAGATATATAAACCCATTTTCCTACTTCCAACAGACCTCAGTACCTCTGAGGATGCTTGCCATAGATGCAGGCGAAACGTCAGGAGAGAATGCCTCTAGACCATGGCCATATAGCCCGAAAAAACCTACAACAACCCAGTGATTCCGGCCATGAAAGCCTTTGACAATACAGAATGAAGAAAGATTTAAATTCCTAGAATGTGCATGCTGTCGTTCGCCGCTGCTTCCTCCTCCTCCTCCTCCTCCTCCTCCTCCTCCTCCTCCTCCTCCTCCTCCTCCTCCTCCTCCTCCTCCTCCTCCTCCTCCTCCTCCTCCTCCTCCTCCTCCTCCTCCTCCTCCTCCTCCGTTTGATGCTGTTGAAACTCTCCTGTCATTCGGAGCCTGAACTTTAGTGTCATACTTTGCCGTTCCTCATGAATTGGAGATGTAGAGCACATTAAGCAAAGTAGCTAAATTTATGCTAATCTGCCCAATTTGCATCATGTTTATAGGTTGTACAACTCCTCTTTATTTGCCACAACATTGGAGTGCAAAATTCAAATTGTTTTAGTGCAAAGTACAATGCCCCAGCTAGCATGTTGAATTAATGTTGCTACAGTTGCTTAGAGGGAATTTGTCTCTCCTCCTCCAGGTATTTTCCCTTGTTTTTCCTCTTCCTTTCCTCTTGATCTCATGGCTGTCAATTCACAAAACTAGCAGAACTGAGATGGTTGGTGTGAGCCATTTCCATGTCTGAACAGCACGAGTCACTTAAAATTCCACCCAGAACCCCAGATAAAGCTGAATTTTGTTCAAAATTAATTTTTCATGGGAAAAAGGAGAAATTCGGGTGTGTGATAGTGAGTTGGATATAAAAATAAGTAGTGATTGACTCTTAAAAAATAGTAATCTTTGAAAAAAAATGCAGCATCTCTTCTCTTTTTGCCAGGTTATTTGTCAACAGAGGAAAGGAGATTATTTATTTACTATTTATTTACTACTAGCTTGGGGACCCGGCGCTGCCCGGGTTATCTGAGAAAGGCATTGTGTGTCAAGGTTGGTCTTTATCAGTTATTTATGTGGCTCGCAGTGCTCTCAGGAAGTTAGTGAAGGTACTGCGAGTCCCATCGTCCATGGTCCATCCTCCTTCAAACTGCACCAGGATGTACAGTGGGTCATGGGGGCTCAGTGTGCCAAGTTTGGTCTTGATCAGTCAGTGGAGGTACTTCAAGTCCCATCATCCATGGTCTGCCCTTCTCCAAACTGCAGTAGGATGTAGAGTGGGTCATGGGGGCTCAGTGTGCCAAGTCTGGTCTTGATCAGTCAGTGGAGGTACTTCA